GTCATAGGCTTTCCTGTAGTCAATCCAGGCTGTGCTCAGATTGGTCTGCCTAGAGCTTGAGCCTCGGGCGACTGCTCTATCTATGAGCAACTGGTGTTTTGAGCCTCTGGTGTTGTCCCCAATGCCCTTCTGAGCTGTGCTCAGGTACTGGCCCATATGGTCCTGTAGCTTGGCAGCTGTGATGCCTGATAGGACTTTCCATGTTGTGGGGAGGCAGGTTATTGGCCAGTAGTTGGCCCATGCTGTTCCTGATCGGTTAAAGTAATTTCCCTTTTCCCTGATCATTTAAAGTAATTTCATCTCCAGCACTGTCTTTCATGATCAGCACTGTCCTTCCTTGCGTTAGCCAGTCTGGGTGGGAGCCTGCTGCTAGCAGCTGGTTCATCTGTGCTGCTAGGTGTTCATTACTTCTGTTAGTTTCTTTAGCCAGTAGGTATGGATCATGTCCGGGCCAGGTACTGTCCAGCTCTTCCTGTTCTTGACCCACTGTTGGATGTCTGCTACTGTGATGGTCACTGGTTCCTGTTCTGGGAGATTGCTGTGGTCTCCTCTCAGGTCCTGGAGCAGTGTGGAATTACTATGCTAACATTTTTGAGAGAGGGGATGGAATAAATGTGTAATTCTTTAAATTATATTTCTATTATCTGAATGTGCTCTGAAATTCATAGTCCTGAATTGTGCATTAACAGCATATTGTATCAGATGGATATGGATATCAGTCACTTTGTCTCAGCCTGAGGAAGGAGGCAATGGCAAACCACTTCTGAAAAGCCTTGCCAAGAAAACGACAGGGAACTGACCACGCAGTCTCTGAGAATTGGGCACAATTGAATGGATTAAAAAAAAAATACAGGTACTCCTCACTTAACAATGGTAATTGGGACCAGAATTCACTTCACTAAGTGATGAGGTTCTAAAGCACAATGTCACGTGACCACATTGCTTAGCAACAGCAATCCCAGCAGTCCCCATTGCCGTTCCTAAGTGAGAATCATGGGTGTTAAGCAAGGACCTCCTCGCAACGTCCAACAACAAGTCAGCAGAATAGCCAACAGGAAGCTGCAAATCCAGGCAGCTTGTAAGCAGGCTGGCAGGCAGGTAAGTGGCTGCTGCTCGGTGGGGGAGGGCATGTGGGTGGCTGTAGCAGCATGCAAGAGTGTTTTCGGGCCCTGGGATGGCTGCTGCCAGGTGCAGGAGCCTGACAAAAGGACCTTGCAAGCTTCCTTGCCGGCTTCCCCATTGACCTTGCTTGCAGAAAGCTGGCAAGAAAGGTTGCAAATGGTGATCACATGACCCTGAGGGTACTGCGGTGGCCAGAACTTCGAGAACAGGTTGTAAGTACCATTTGTTCAGTGCCATTGCAACTTCAAAGAGTCGCTGAACAAGTGGTCTCTAAGCGAGGACTACTTGAAGACATGGAGATGACAGAGACAGAGACAGAGACAGAGACAGAGACATTCTATGCTGGTTAATTATGTTCATTTTTGTTTTCCTGATCACTCATTTGCACGAGGGGCACTCCAAAATCCCAAAATCTATAGATATAGATATAGATATAGATATACATATACATATACATATACATATACATATACATATACATATACATATACATATACATGAGTCAGTTTGGTGTAGTGGTTAATGCATCAGGCTAGAAACCAGACTGTGAGTTCCAGTCCCGCCTTAGGCACCAAGCCAGCTGGGTGACCTTGGGCCAGTCACTTTCTCGCAGCCCTCAGATTCTTAGGAAAGAGGCAATGGCAAGCCACTTCTGAAAAACTTTGCCAAGGAAATTGCAAGGACTTCTCCAGGGAGTCTCCAAGAATCGGACATGAGTGAACAGATTAAAAAAAATAGATATAGATATTCTACACTGGTTAATTATGCTTATTTTTGTTCCCTGATCACTCAAGTGCACACTGTGCTGTCCAAACTCCCAAGGTCTGAGGTTCAGTTCCCAGCACTGCCAACCAACAAAGATAGAAGTACCATTAGATAAGAAAGACTTCTTTCTTTAAATGACTTTTTGAATGTTTTAATACTGTGGAGGTCTTTTACAAAAGCCTGGATTCTGTTTGGTTCTGGAGGGCAAGGAACAGCCTTAAACTTAATTTTGACAACATCAATTGGCTATGGGTGCATGGTTCTTCTGGCGCCCACGGTTTTACATCCTTGTTACTAATTTAGAGCTGGTGTACAATTTGGGATCCTCCTGGACTCATAACTCCTGCTCAGTGAATAGGTGGCAACTATGGCCAGGAGGGCTTTCACATGGATTTCTCTGGTGCACTAATTGCACATCTTCCTGGACTGGAAATCCCTTCTCACTGTCACCTCACAGATGGACTTAATCACCTCACAGATGGACGATTACAACACACACTACATGGGGCTGCCCTTGAAGACCATTAAGAAGCTAAAGCTGGCCTTAGCAACAATACGAAAGGTTATGGGCACAGCTCAGAAGACCCTTGTGACATCTCTACTACGTGAGTTACACTGGTTATTAGTGAGCCTCTGGCTACAGTTCAAGTACTGGTGATCACTGATATAGCCCTTCCCAGCATAGGCCATGGCTATCTGAGGGACTGTCTCTCTCCCACCATTGCTGCCCACCCCATAAGATCTGGCACACTTCCAACAAGAGAGGAATTGGAAAAGGAGGGGTACCTGTGCCACTGGTTCACATATTTTCAATTGAAAGAACAATTCAAAATAGACATCAAAAATTATAAATTTACAAAAGAATCATCATGGTGGGACACTCAAATTAATACAAATAAC